GTGGTACTGCGTAATGCGTTTGGGGATGGTGGGGATGGGTGCTGTGGCCAGTAGTAGTACGAAAGGGACACAGAAGTAGAGAGGCAGAGAAAGTGGTGGGATGCGTGATACTAAGCTAGTGAATAGACTCGGGCCTAGAGTAGAAATGGAATTCTTGGACGGTTGGACTTATCCATAAAACAAAATAAATGAATATTTAAATGAATAGGAAGAACAAGAGTCTTGAATTCAGTGACTAGCAACGAAAGAAAAAAAAAAAAACTGAGTGGATATTCTAATCAGTTTTGGTGATTAATTGGTTTCGGATATAAGACTTTTAACTTCTTCTAAAAATAGTACTTAAAAGAATTAAACACATACTTATTTCTTTTAAACTACGATTATTTGCTAAAACTGAGTGTATTAAGTGTTAACCTAGCGCGCAAAGTGTGTCATTTAATTTTATTGGTTATTTTTATTATTTTTTAATTTTTTATTTAAATTAAATCTTATTTGCTTATGTTGTAGCTTTTTATTCATATAAATAATTTATTAATTAAAAGAGAAATATTTTTCATATTAATTATTTCATCTAATACAAAAAAATGACGGAATCCACTGAGAAAAAGAGAAAAAAAAATTTCGTCTACTTTTACGTATATATGAGATAATTTTATCAAATACCACGTGAGAAATATATTTTTCATAAAAATATATTAATAGATAATTGAAATAGCAATTTAATATCAATCCTACAAACAGACTGCGCTCTTTTTCCTAAATATTTTGGGTTTTTTTAAGTGAACTTGTTTATTCATGTAATATAAATAAAAAATGATTTCATTACTAAATTAAAGATACTGTTTATTTAAATTATGAATCTTAAAAGAGAATAAATAAATTAAACGAGAATAAATAAATTAACCTCAAACCCGCGCCCGTACCCGCAATTGGGGGTGTTAACGGGTCGAGCCAAGCCGAGCCGAGATTTGGTCTTAAAAGGCTAAGTCTGTGTTTAAATGTGTTGGTCTTACCAAACATGTTACCTGTTACGAATATAATTATCGGCATGTGACCTGTCTTATTTACAAAAAATAAAAGCCTGATTTAGCCTGTTAGAAAAAATAAGACAACAAAAATTTATCCAAACAGAATATACAATCAACAACACTAGTAATTCTATAAATATTCATAAATTCAATGTATATCCAAACAGCATAATATAGAACAAAATCATTCAAAAAGTATGTTTAACTAATAAAATAGGGATGAAATAGATTGAGAGGGAGAGAGGACTATTATAAATAGTTTAAAAAATATGAATAAAAATAAAAATTAATATACTAGGCCAGCCTGAGAGGCTCCAAGGTCGAGCTTTTGAATTAGAACCTGAGACCTTTTTACTAAACGAGTTTTTATACAAGTCCAATCTTGATTCCAACAACCAATATTAGGCATGTAAGCTCAGGCCTTCACGAGGCGAGCCAAAAATTCCTGACTCATTTATCACCAACACTACTTCATCCCAAATTTTTACCGGAGCTAGGTAAGTTAAAGTATTAATACTAGCATATTTGAAATGATATTTTTTAAGAAGAGCTCTTATTATAAAAAAATTATTATAATGAATAAAAAAATGAAAAAAACTTATCTGAATATTATTTTATCTTTTCTCTTTTAAAATCCTCAAAACACTTTTATATAATTACCAAACATATAAGAGTATGTGAAAACATGTTAAGAGAAGAGATAAATATATATATATATATATATATATATATATATATATATATATATATTATTTTGCAAAACACAATTGGTCTTTAATGAATTCAACCAGTGAGCAGCAGACACCTCTCTTTGCTGAATCAAAAAAATAAAAAATAGCACCTGTCTCTCTCATGTGTGATTGGGTTAGATGGTCCGGCACGAGCCATCCCCTTGCCACTCTCACCCCTATAACTCACACTCTCCCTATCTCAATTTTATTTTTATTTTTATTTTGAGAATCTACTTTTAATATTTCACTTTCTTTTTCAGTTCCCCTCCCAAATCCTTTATAGCAGTGTTTTAAAACTCGGACCGGTCATTGAATCGGTCGAAGTACTAGGTTACTGGGTCACTGGTTCAACCGGGTTGAACCGGTTTTACTGTTCACATGTTAAAAATATAAAAATATTACTTATATTGATAAAAATTCACATAAGAAAACTATCTATGAGCTTCAAAAAATAAATTGGTTTTCAATGATAGCAAATATTATATACTTCTAAGCTTCTAGCTCTAGATCGTTGAGATGAGATCATGAGACCATCACTGTTTATCACCACTTAACTTCATGAGATCATTATAAGATGCAACTAAATTACATAAACGAACTACACTAATATAAAATACCTTATTATTTTCACCTTACTTTTAATCATATTCATCAAAAAATATGAATATGATTTAATTCAAGAGTTCTTATCAACAACAAAAAAATTTACCAAAAAAAATAAGAAGAAGGAAAAACCGGTTTAACCCGAGTCAACCGGGTCACCGGTCCAATCCGGGCTGACTGCATAACCAGTCTAACTACCCGCTCGGACTGGGGAACCCACCGGGTCACCGAGTCTCGGATCGACCCGGCCAGTCCGAGCCGAGTTTTAAAACACTGCTTCATAGTCTAAATAAACATTATGTTTAATTTAATAACGAAATTAATATTTATTTGTATTAAATAGTACCTTAACAGTTAACACTTGCCCTTAATTGGTCTTTTGCAAAATGCAACTCGTCTTTTTTTTTCTTTTCTTTTTTCCTGATACATAAAGGCTAATGCAACTCATCTTTAATAGTTTAAACAAGTATCATGAACATGGTTATACAAAAAAAAAAAGTATCATGAACATGGTATTTAATTTAAAATACACCATCATGATAATTATACCTCTACTTTCTTAAGTGGTTTGATATTTCATCTTTTTAGTCAAACCGACATTAGCTTTGCGAAAAAGCTTTTCAATAAAATGTTTAACCAAATCTCTTTAAAACCGACAGCAGCAAGTATCAATTCAAACAGAGGGGTGAATAGAATTCTTTGTGGGATAGCAGTATAATTTCGAGATGTAGAATTTGGCATCCACAGTTCAGCGAAATGAAAAAGCTTAAGTCTACCTTTTTGAGATAAAATGTGTATATTTGGATTAACAAGTATGCATTTATAATAAAGAGATGAGCAGCCTTGATGGAGAGACAACCAACTTGAATATGATGAGGCAATAAGCTGTTTTCATTGTTTCTTGTGGGTAACTTGTAATAAGGTTTTGCTGTAGTTTCTTGGTGATAAAGTATCTTGGCGGTGAAATTTGCTAAAGAACTTGTTGAGACGTAACAATAACTATAAAATCTTTGTTAACTTGGTCTTTTCTTAATGATAAAGACTTTGAAAGTGAGTCTTGTATTAATATAAGCCTTGTATTTATATTATTATTCTAGATCAGATTTTAAATTGATATTTCTTTGAATATACTTGTTATATTTTGTTAGAAATAAATGAAATTATTAATCTAGTCTCACTTAATGGTTTAAATTTTTAGGTTGAATTTTTTTTTTAAGAGTCTCGTGTTTCTCATTTTCTTTGTAAAAATTTTTAACACAGATAAGTTAGGTATGATAAATCATTTACCTTTCAAACTCAATAAATTTTTTTAGAAAGAGAATGTGTTAAAAATATATAAAATTATTAATGTAGCCTAACTTAATAACTTAAAATTTTAAGTTAATTAATTATTTGCTTAATGGACATAGATTTGATTGATGTCGGATTTGTTAGATTAACCCATTAATTATTCCCTTGAATTTCTTTTTCGGTTAATATCATTCCAATTGCTGTTATAAAAGTAATTAGTATTTTTGTCATTAAAAGATATTTTTGACTCTCATTATTGGATCAACTAGAACTCCATTTGAGTCCCTTTGATGTCTTATCTTTATTTACAATATTCTTTCTTTAATGAAAAATATTTGCCCTCAAATCTCCTTCGCCTTTATTGGTATCTAACTTCTTCCATTTCATTTTCATTTCCAACTGGTACGGTGTTGGATGTCACTTTCTCATAGCTTTCCGACTGCAAACCTGAAAATAAGACATAGCGAGTAGATTATAAAAACAAGAAAGTAGTGACAGTAAGAATAAGGAAGGAAATAATGACAGATTTCTAACCCGTCTCTACCTCACGATTCACAAATTACTCCAACGTTAAAATAACGTTTCTATTTTTAAAAAGTTTTGGTTGTCGATACTCGCAGGAGTCTATGACTCTAAAATATTCAAAATATAATAAAGATAATTTAATTTTGAGAAACTTTCAAATGAATGTATAATAAGTAAAAGGATAATCATTCACTCATGTTGTTTGAAAAAGAAAATATTTTCTAAAAACAATAACATTATATTATGAGGAATATATAATTATAATATTAAAATTTCTTTCTCTTTTCTTAAATATTGTCGGTTAATATGACAGAAAAAAAAGTAATTTTATGATTATAAATATATATTACCCATAATATAATATATATATATATTGCAGGAGATTTATTTACTGCTACCATGAAAAAAATGAAATCCTAAGTAAAAATACTCAATAGTTTAGGGTTCTCTCATCAATTTTGTTTAGGAGCTTAAATTTTAGTCTTATCTTGGAATGTATTTCACTTATTCACTTATCAGTGCAACTACCCAATTTTTGTTGATTAAAAGAACAAATTAATATTTCACATATTGTAAGAGATAATTTTATCTATTAGACACATAAAAATATAAAAGACTCACGACGAGACCATGTCACAAAAGAGAAAAAAAGAAACATAAATCTCATACACTTTTAGTCTCTTAAAAGAATCAGATATCCGCGCGCAAAATTTTTAACGAAGAGATAATATCAGATAAATGATCAATTGTAAATATAAACGTCTTTTGAAATTTGTGATTTCCACTTGGAACGCATCAACAAAACTATGAATTCATTCCCTTTTCACTATACAAAACAAAAATTCGACCTTGCACAAATACATAAAAAAAAACATCGAGTAAACAAAAACAGAAACATAAAAAAGAGGCCCATGTTACATAACACCGAGTATAGATATCATATCCTCGCACACCCTAAAATAAGACGGGAAGGTAACATGAACACGTGTAACCTTAAATCCAAATTCATGCAATTCTAAACTTGAAACAACAGTTTCCACCAAAATGATCAAGCATCCTCTCCGGTAGCTTTAAAAGGCTGAGGAAATCTTCCATGTTATTTCTATTTGCACAGATTTCCAACTCATAACCCAGAAAAGAAAACTGCCTTTGTTTCAATTGCATTAAACTATCAGTTCCTCTTTCCCTTGAACCAACCTAAAATAAAGCACTCCAAACACCTCCATCCCCTTCACCACACTTTGAGTGGACAAATTTAATCTTCTCTACTGACTTGCAGATTCCACTACAGCTCCAATCAAAGGATGCAACACATATGTTACCTGCTTGAGCCTTCCACTCACAGTCTACAGAAACATTTAGTCGAAATGAGTACCACATTCAAAAGAGAAAATAACAAAAAAAAAGGTTGGGGGAGGGGGAGGGGGGATGAGAAACTCAGTTGAACTAAAAATATAAATTATATAGCAGAAGCTTTAAAAGACAAAACATCATGTTGTCCTTTTTAAAACTTTTTAAAATGTGGAGAGCCCTCTAAGAAGAAAGTTTGATGGGAACTCATCCAGTGACACCAAAATGCATGATAAATGTCAGAATTTCTAGCAGAACTTGAAACAAATATAGTTTCCCTATTTCTCTGACAGCCAAAGTGATAGGTAGACAATGTTTACTATTTACTTATTTTCAGATGCCATACCTGGAGGAGTCCCACAGCACATACTCCGGTCATCAATATGCTCAACTTCCAGACCAATGAACCATGCGCCGAGTGAGACATCTTCATTAGCATACTTGTGCAATATTGGCCTGCAGTCACAATTAGGAACCTCGTGAAATTTGTCTTGCAAGACATTATATTCCATGCCAAACGTACATCAGATTCTGCTTGCTTATTTAAACTTTGACCGATCCATGAGCTAAAGAGTTCCTATCTTGGAAACATTTTAACTGAACGTACAAAAATGTTTTTTTTTTTTTTTCAAGAGTATTTTGCTTTTAAAAAAATGACAGCACAATCATTATGCACTGTGAAAAATCTAGTTGGGTGCTTAATTTCACATTCAAAAATGTTTCTTCATATATATAAAGAAGAAAAGTCACTATTGTTGGCTAGAGATAAAAAAATAGCTAATTAATATTGAATGGAAAACGATATCCATACTGATTGATGGAAATGTAAGTGGCCAGATCCTTAGAGATTGCATATATCTGCCCAGTTGCATGTCGGAAGTATTTGTTACCCTCTTCACCAAACTTCCAAAACTCAGGTTCACGATACTTAACATCCCTAGATATACAGAAACAAAATCAGATTACTACGAAGCCACAATGAGGAGCATAGAAGGGTAGCCTCTATCAAATATATAAGTCCAGTTAAATTACTTTCGTGAAAGAACAGGTCCAGATTTCATACACCCAATGTAGACCCTGGGATTTGAACGATGACGAGCAAGGGTCGTTGCCAGTACACCTAAATTAGAATGAACATTACTTGTGAGGGAAATGGGATGGAGTAAAGCAGTAAAGGAAACAATGGCAAGGAAACAGAAGAAAGTGGTTAAGAATCCTGAGACACCTCATACCTAAATTGACATGGACATCATCATCCACTTTAACAAAGAAATCGGCATCCCATTCTGCAACCGCAGTAGAAAAGAAAATTTTTGTTTTAGCAGACAATTCATGATACCCTTCAACATGTTCCTACAAGATAATGAATAAGCAACATCATATTCCTGCTAGATTATCCAGATTTTTATAAACAATTCCAATGATCTGTGTTACCAGGCGAAGGAAGTCTTTGTGCTGGGCTTCTTCTGAATCAATTGCTCTATCTAGAATGCTGTTGGAAGTTGCACTGGGACAATGATGGCAATATCAATCATGTCAATTCCATTAAGTATAACAGTGCCGCCTAGTAAACATATATCTATTTTTCAGATAGAGTTATAATGAAACCATGTTGTGTTGGGTTCTTAAAATTGTTGATTTGAACAACAGAATCGGAACATCCCTATCTTAACTTCAGAATTACACCTTCTGCATATATTATTTATGATATTTCTAGCCAAAGTTAACAATAGCCCCTTCTGCTGCCAACAGATAGCTACATCACAAAGGAGGATTTATTATCAAAGGTAAAGAAATTGAATTTCAAACCACTACCCTTCTGCCTTCAGAACTGTCTAAATTGCACAAATTTGTCTCTCCGTGTATTTATCAACAGTTGAGACCTCATAAGCCTAACCATATCAAAAATAGACAATACTCGCTTTATCTTGCGAAGATGTTTTAACTTCTAAGATTTCTGATACCAAACTCTTCCTATTATATTTCCATGTATACAGTTGATGAAGTATGAGATGCAGAACCAAGTTACTATGTACTAAGATGATGAGGAGTAAACATGGAAACAAGGATTATGGTTACTTAGCATGGTTCGTTGTAGTAACACAAAGAATAAGACCATCATAACCTGAACCTATTAGATAACACAAATACAATATTCCACATACTCCAATGTCAGCAAGGTGAACTCATAGGAGACTTTTCATGAAAATTATAGTGCTATATAGGCACTTGTAATTCTAACTTACTTGCGCCAAACGATTTCCAATTATCACAAGATCTTGAATTCATGTTCCCTAAAATTAGTGAGTGTTAATATTAAGAGAAAATAAGCAATAATATTCATATGCATTCAAACTTCAAGGGAAGGGATATCATCAAAGAGATATGCTGTCAAGAATCTTTGATGAGTTTGATCATTTACAATAACAGGATACAAGTACACAATCTCCAATCTCAGTACTAAGGTATTGACTTCAGTAGAAAAAACAAAGGATTACAGAGGTATCCTATTGCAATTGGTAGAAGAAGTCAATTTTGTGGCCAATAACTGTTCTTTGAGGTAAGGATTAAAAACACAGTTCTCTGTGGCCAATTTGTCGCTCATTTTTGGATCTAGCAGTCAGATAAGAAGTGTAATAGAGATAATTTTGTTATATCAAACAGGAACAATCTTTTTGTGTTATCATATTAATAGAAATAATAAATAAATGTTTTTGATAAGAAACCATCTCACCCAACAGCTCAAGCGACCCCGTGGTCACTTTGGCTCCGATACCAGGACAAAGCAAGCAATTCAACCTTACAACTTAAGGTGTTAAGTGATGGGACTTCAATAGTTTTATATTATATCTCTCTATCAGTGTTTCACTTAACAACAAAAACTTCATTTAGCTTCACATTGTATACATAAAGCCATAAATTTATTTGTGGACCTAAGTCTCTTAAGGCGTTATTGTAACTCTCCTGATTCACATCATATTTTGTTTTGATAATAATTCATGTTGCTAACACAATCAGAATAATACAAGAAATTACCTGTGACCAATCATGAATCTGATGATGATTCCCTTCTCGCGTTCCAATTGAAGAAGCTGTTCCCCTAATCAAAAGTGAGAACCAAAAACACCACCTGTTAGAAATTAACCCATCACCGTTTAGGTTAGATTAAAACAGCTCTCATTAGAACTATAAGATACCTTGAGGCATCCAAGTCTCTCTAACCGAATCACGCCGCTTCCTGCTACTGAAAGCTGTGTTTATCCCAATCACCATAAACACCTTCTTCCTGGGAGGGCCTTCAGTGGAGAGGCCCGAGCCCAAGGAGTTAGCCGAACCATCTGAAATCCCAGGTTCTCGTGTACTCCTCGCTGCTGCCAGTTCCATCTGAAGCATGGAAACTTGCTTGTCTAGAGATCTGACATGCCCTCCAAACAAAAGAAAACACCAATCACTCAATACTTCAATTGCAAGCAAATCTAGCCAAAAATAGAAACACATTCCCCTTAGCACTCACTGAATGGCTTCATGGGTTTTGAACACTTCGTTCATTACATCCTTATCGTGCACAGACTCCTGATGCATTCCAAAACACGCCCCAGAGATTTCAAAATCATAGAAAACAATTTAAAACACATGTAAAAATTGAACTAGAAATTCACATGAGTAAAGCATGCCTTTTTAGTAGCACAATCCCCTGAGAACACTTTTCGTTCTTGTTCATGCCGATATTTTGACAGAACCACGCCGTTCAATTCAGGTGGTAGCCACATCCTGAAAAGTAACAATTATATTGTTCGATAATCACAACCAAGTTTCTCCAAAACTTAATCATCAAAATTTGAACTTTGAAAAACAAAATGCCAACACACAGACCCAAGTTTACAACTTTAGATTCATTAGAGCAAAGCAAAAGGAAAGTAAACAGCAACCAGAATCCATAGCTTAAAACAATCATACATAAAAAAGAATAAAGAGAAAAAAAAAGTAGAGAAATAGAAAGGGACCTGCTTGTGATGAGCATTCCAAGAAGGAAGGAAAAAACAGAGAAAATGGGAACCCATTTTGCAGAGATTTTTGAAGAGCTACGAGTCTTCATAGTAGTCCTCTGAGTCTGTGTCCAAGTGAGAAGAGTTGTTGAACTGAGCTAGTTGGAACTTGGAATGTCTCAACTCAAATGACAACTACAACTTACAACACATTGCGTTTTTATGTTATAATAATTGGATAATTTATAGATTTTAGATTAAGATTAGTAAAAGATTTGAAATTTGAGGTAGGTAATATACAATTTAGTTTTTTTTTTTTTTTTTAAAAAAAAAGTTAGATGTAGTATTTTTGTTCTTGAAATTTTTTATCTATATGAATTAGTTTCAAAAGTTTTTGCCCAACTTGTTACTTTAACAAAATTGGCTTATTATATTAACAAGATTACTTTTTTATAAATTAATTTGTATGGACAAAAATTTTAAAAATTAGAAAATATAAAATAAAACTAAATTTAAGTGTGTTCAAATAAAATGATTAAAGAGTTTAAGTCTACCACAGACACGTTATGTTGTTAGGCAAAGTTTGCATGCGACTTGGACTTTGTATCTCGTAAGTAATGGCGTCTCTTATCACGCCAATCACGCCTTAAGTTTAGAATTGTGCTCCTCTTAGGCGTCTCTAGTTAAACGAACCGTTTTTGTCGCTTGAAGCTAAGAAGTTTCGTCAAGGAAAGAAAAGCTTCATTCATTAACTTCGTAATGTTATGTGTCCATTAAATCATGTTGTAAAAGACATTATAAGGGTATTTGGCTGCACTAATTTTTATTTTCATCTGCAACATTTTATACAATTCCAAGCACAAAGAAATGATGAAGGATTTATTCATGGCTATATATGCAAATAAAACCAAGTTTACGGTCAATTGGATTTCTTCAATGAGTGTGTCTTTTAATTAAAAATTAAAAGGTTTCAAAGGAGGTGTTCTCTTACATGCTTTCTTCTAACGATTGGACCTACCCGTTCCTGATTCACGGTCGTAGTCTTATTTGGTCATAGCACAGCCCACAGCCCTCTAAAAAAGTCTTCCAGAAAACCCAAAATTCATTTACTGGGATCTGTTTTCGTATTCTTCCCTAAATATAAACTATTTAATTAATTTTTTTTGGTAAATATTTTTTTTTATAATTATATGTTTTATATTACATATTAAAGATTAAGAAATAAAAGTTACAGGCTTACCAAAGTTAAAAATCAATTAATAATTTTTTTTAAAATAAAAACTTATACGTTATGTTTATTATTATTATTTTTTGGTAGACATACGTTATGTTTATTTATTTAGGATGGAGTATCAAAATAAACCCCTTCATTTGCCTGTGTTAGGGTGTGACCAAAATAACTAATTCAAATAATATAATTGATATTTTTGATTTTATTGGTAGATTTGATTTTAAATTCTAACTCATATTAAGATGTGAAAAAAAAAGTGACATATAAAAGATATGTGAAATTTTACCAAATTTTTTGTGTGTGTAAAATATAGGAAAGAAATGTAACAGATATATATGGGCATTTTGACCACTAAAACACAACACAACAGCAAAACAATCACCAATCATACCCAAAACAACAATCAATGGAAGACACGCGCATGGGATTTTCTTTTACTTTTTTTTTTTTTACGAAGCGCGTAAACAAAATGCTCACCTTTTTTTGAACTTTACGATTTCAGGAAGACTTGAATCGAAGAGTATCCTTGTCGTATATTTTGTATTCGTTATCCCTATCTTACCTATTCAGACATGAAAACGAATGTAACGGAGATGCAAAAAACAAAACAAATCAAAACACAAAATTTATTAAACACAAATGATTCAAAATACCCCTGAACCCTTAATCCTTGCAAGCTGGACGATCACAACGTTTTGAGAAGACTCATTCTTCGCCAACAAAGATTGCACTTCATCCACATGTTGCTCCCACAAAGTAAATTCGAGCTTGTGACCCCTATTTTCAGGAAATTTGAGCGAAATAAAAATATATTTCATCTGAAATTATACTTCCCAATAATCATACAAATATACCTGAGGTCATCAAGTTCTAAAACAACCATCTTTGTTTTTCTACCGGATACAACATGCTCACGGACGTCTCCAATACCTGACAGCAAACCGATGACATCTACAAAGAGGAGAGGTCGAACATTTATCAACGACACTAACAGATAAAATATAACAGTAAACTCAGACAAAAACATTACCTACTAAATAAGGAGAGTCAGCTGATTCCCTCTCTACGACATCAAAATCAACAAAACTAAATCCATAAGCAGGAATAGCAGCATCCACAATCGATTTGACATCCGTCCTCAAGTTGAAAGATAGACGATAATCATGCCTAGTTGGCCTGAAATTACCAGTGTTCAACCCAACTTCAAAATTTCTTATAAAATAGACATCCCCTTCGCAAATTATTTTACAGACATTCAGAGATCCTTTGACAGTAGCATGTATCCTTCCACCCTACAAAATAAATACATTAGATAAATTAACATTAGGGCCTTAAAAAAAACGAAACGAAAAAAAAAAACCCGTAACAAAACGCAAAGTATTACCTTCTCGTCTAAGAGAACCATGTCCAGATTGTCGTCAAAAAATTTTCACTGAAAATTAGGAACATTCCAAGTCCTAACCACCCTCTCCTTAATCCTCCACTCCTCCTTTGACGGATTAAGATCCTTAATGAAATCATATCTCGAGTACATATTTCGCACCAAAAAAGGTTGAGCAGATGAAGTTGCAAGAGAAAACAAAAGAAAACAGGATGAGGAGGGGAAGAATCACAAAAGGCGATGACCAAAGGGAAGAACCAAGCAAAACATATCATCATATATACACAACTTCCAAAAAGGACTTGAAAAGTCTCTGAAGTATAAAGTAGTGGAACTTTAATTCAGCCTGACCCCACAATTATGAGGATTCTCTTTTTTTCCACTAATTAATATTAATTTTTGATTTAAGAAAAATTCCAAAGGAAGAAAGTTTTCAAACTTTGTCAAGTGTGAACACATTGGTGAAATTGAAGGAAGGAGTGACACATCATCAAACTTTCCATTGATGTTATTCTCTTAGTATATATAACTAGTGTATTACCCGTGCGTTGCACGGAGGAAAAAAAATCGATTTGTTTGTCTCGTAAAAACTAACGCAACACATGCAAGTATATTACTGCATTTTACATTGTCATGTTGTCATTCAAAAATTACAAAGTTTGACTCAGCTTCTGTAAGTATTTCTTGGAGATGATCAGAACATTTAACAGCATTTCTGTATGATATATCTGTAATAGAGTAAATCATAATAAACATAATAACGTAACATGTGAACAAAAATATTTAAATGATGTGCTTGACATGAAGGTAATAAGAAAGTTGCTGAACCTACATTTGTGATCCTTCATCCTCTTAGAAATCAATGATTAATAATCTACAAATGAAAGTATGAAAAAAAAACATGAATATGTGAGTACAAATAAAAAGTGTTATAACAATATTGATGACTATGAAATACTGTTTGTTCAAAAATAGCAGTTAACAATATACCATGTGTGCATGAAATACGATTTCTGCATGAGAAAAAAAAAGTAGCAGTTAAAAAAACCAAACGACAACGAAGATAAGTAAAAAAGCACTCCATTGCCATTTTTTTTGTCTTTACCTGTACCAAACAACGATGTTATCTCATTGTAGAAAGAAGGAAATATACTACATTAATCTTTGAAATACTTCCTTGTAAACTATATTAAGGGTACTATTTGTAACACAACCGTTTTCATCAAGTATCAATCTCTTCAATTCGTGCTTGCTCTTTACTCTAGACAGTGCCGCATATAATTGCCCAGCGTGCAGCGTTTTGATGACAAATGATCCCCAAATTAAGCTTTTAATTATATTGGATGATTTCCAAAACCATTATTCCTCAAATTAAGAAACGGTCATTAAACCTGAGATCTAATTAATTCCTACGTTGATCAAACATTAGATTAGATGCAGCGTTTTGATGACAGACGTTCCCCAATACACCATCGTTCCAAATTCAAATTTAAATTCAAAAAAAGACAATGTAGAAAGAAAAGAAAAGAAACAGAAAGAAATAACCTGTTAAGATTTGTTGACATATAAATTTCCAAAACGATATGCTATCAGTTGTTAAGATATGTTTTTTGAATTATTCAATGAGTCAGATTATAATTTTTGATTACTCAGTCTTTGTTTGAGTAAAATCGAACTTGTAAAATTAAACTTTTAAAAGATGAACCAAAACATAATCAAAGATTGGATTAATCATTTGATTATTAATATTTATTGCACAACATGTAACACTACAATTTTCACTTTTAATATTAATTATACTGGAAGATATAACTGATTTTTCAGCAGCACGATGAGTACTTTTTTTTTGCTAGAAGTTTTGAATCAATGTTTAAAAAAACAGTAGGAGAGTGCCACACATCAACATATCAGGAATCCATTGCAAAAAACAGCTTTCATGGGGTAGTCCATTACAAAAAACTTCGGCTATGAATATACCATATTAGTTGTCACTGGAACAAAAGACATTGCAAATAAAAGTCATAATAACAACACCAATCCTTTAAACATTTCGTCTCCAAGACACAAAAAATCACCCTCAAGACATAGTTTCCAAATCTACGGGGTGGTCTCATCTGCTTCTGCATCAAATCTATTTAAAAAAAGAAAAAAAAATCAGTGATGAGCATCTCAACTTTGCGCAAGCAAATGAAATGGTTTAATCAGTATAGTAAGATTAAAAAAAAATTGATGGCAATTTATAGAAACACAAATATAAATCAGAAAATACATAACTCCTTTTCAAGCTTTTTTTTTTCGCAGTTCAAACAACTGAAAAATTAAATTCCCCAGCAATAGAATTATGAGAATTAATCACCGGTGTCAACATAGTCAGAGAAACATCACCAATGTCAGCACTATCACAGGTCTGACTCTCAACATAGTCAGTACGTCAAGATGTTATGAATTCTTTTTTTGTTCAAAACATAAATTTTAATTCAAATAATGGGTTACCGCAACCTTTTTCAAGT